GCGGGGTGATGAAACAAAGCAAATGATTTCCACAGCCATGTAGACATTTGGGAATCAGGAAAAAGACACACAAAATTGGCCTTTAATAAGAAAAAATTTGTGAAAGGAATTAATTAGATGATCATTACGATGAGCGTTTAGAAGAATCTTTAGTGGAATTCTAACTATAGGAATTTTTCTACGCATAAAAAATTTGAAAATTAGTAGAAATGAAAATCAAATGTTTTCAATCATAGCTTGACCGTAACCAAAAGGTCCATAACATACCTGATCAGAAGTGATGTATTCTGGAGCAATGCCAGCAACGATATCCTCTTCGTTATCAAATGAACTCAAATCGATTATCTTCTCGATTATCTCTTCAAAAGATCCTTATTAATGCTTCTCTTGAAGGCAAGTTGAAACTACTTACGACTTTCTGCACGTCGTCTCGTTCTTCCAACCACAGCTTCCTTCAACATTCCCAATGCTCCACCTTTAACCACTTTGCCAGCCGGAACAAGCACCATTTGACATGACGTATTTGCCTCTGGGAAATGGTAAAATTCAATGAACAGTCAATAAAATAAGGATAAACTATACCTGGCACTAACACTACGCAATATGGTGTGTTCGGTTGAACAAATCCAACCGCTAGAGTGAATACGATAAGTGAGGCAAGGGAGAACAGCAGAAGCAGTTTCTCTTTTCTATAAACTTACAATTAGCAAGATTCCGTTCTAATGCATGTTATACTCAACAATGTGGGTTAAAGAAAAAGTGGTGAATAACAAAACATAAAGAATAAATAAGAAGTCTTTGTAAAGTAATTACTCTTAAGTGAACGCAAAATAGGTTCCACCGTTGAAGTTGTAAGTCTCTATAGGATTGTTTTTTCATTAAGATGGAAACGCCATTCATTCCAATAAGATTACTATTAGAGAAAAAATCCTCATATACGCGTGGAATTATAAAGCATTATAAAAATGCGCGCCTAGCGGACATAATAACAAATTTTCTTTGTTATTTCCACGATCAAGTTCCTGTGCGGTGTTTTTGCTGTGTTTTTCTTCTCTTTTCTGCGCCAAATGCTGATGTGAATGGTGATTATGATCCCACCTCATAATCCTCCATCTCTAACGAATGTTAATAGCATACGAATCAGATTAGCATTTCATATTAATTTATAAAAACTCGCGGTTACATATCTCCTACCATTTAACTCTTAGTTTTAAATATATCGCATTTCTAAGTGATTCCTTCACATTAAACTAATAAATGCATGATAAAAAGGCGCTTTGATATATTTTGGTTGCATGTTGTCCCTGTTGTACCTTTGTGGTCGTAACTGTTCGAATAGAATCCGTTTTATTCCTTGTTCATATCGGACAAAGTTTTGGCCTAAGCTTTAGTCTAAGCCTGGAATAACACCGTCACTTTCTCGGAATAAAGTACGGATCTAGCGTAGCAAATCATAGTAAATGCCTATGTTGACGTAAATGAATAACAGAACAGATTTGTATCGACAACTTCGATCACTAACTAGAGCTTCAATAATCGAACAATTTCTGGACTACGAAAGCTATTTTTGAGAAGAGAAGTTTTTTTGTTTTGTTGTTGGACGCCAATAGTAGTGGTCTTCAAAATGCTTTATTAAAAGAGCAAGAAGGATTTTGTTGCAAAGAAATCTTTTGTAAAAAAAACTCCTTCGAGACAAGACAGACTGCGCTAGGTTGTTGTCTAATTAACTTGATTGCAGCATAGTCTCAAAAAACAACGAGTATACACGACCTAATCTCTTCCCATCGCTGAAAGTTGTTCTTTACGTAGAAATAGAGGATCAAATATTCAAATAACCAAGAGAATCTAAACAAATTGTGGTAATCCTACTGATTTTTCACAAAAATAAGAATGGGTCAGTTCATTAAGTAGGTTACTTTAAATTGTGCATTGTGCTTTCAAAAAGTTGGCGCTAATCAGATGGGGAAGCGCGGCCGCTTAAAGCGTTCGAATTTCGAAATTTTTGAAGTAAACTTTTGTAATACTTCTTCTACTTATTGCACAGCTCCTGCAGAATAGCATTGCAAATTTTTTCATGTGTTCTTCGTAGAATTCGTGGAAATTAGTCACTCTTCTGTTCTTTCGAGGACGACTAAGAGAGAAAACCAAGAAAGTCGAAGGAAAAGAAAGTGCATAAGTATTATAGACCACAAAATATGCGAAATTTTGCTTTAGAACTTCTTTAAAAAGAGTGAAAAGGATTTTTTTAAAAACAGAAAGAGGAGTATGTACGCATTATTATTTAGAGGCACAAGTGTTGTGAAGGTCGAATTAGGTAGAGAGAAACAAACAAGTTAACAGTCTTAAGCCAAACAAATACACAATTATAGCCATAAACGGAATCTGCGTTACCTGAAGCGACTAGCAAACGAGCTCCAAAATGGGCCTGAAGCAAATTCTACCAAGGGTCGACATCCAAGAAGCATTCCAGTCTATAATTGCAGTCTCAGATTTCATTATTTTTGACATGACATCAAATAAAAGTACTGAATGAAAATGTTTTGAGTGTCACAGGTAGTTTTTTGTCCTTTTGTCTGCACCAACTAAAACAATCTGAATGCTTAGCATCCTTTTTGAAAAAATATTTGAGGGTGGAAAAAGGAAACATATACTAGAAATCACTCAAAAAAAGTTGTCTCGCAACGTCTGTAATAGGTATTTGTATTTGAATGATTGCGGAAGAGATAAATTTTCGGTAATTACTATAATATTCCATCCAAATGATAGAAATTCCTACAAGGGATGACATATCAAAAACAATTAAATGTTAAATTTGAATCTAAGAACCATGCAAAAGTGAAGAGATCAT